CGTTTGGTTTTTCTGTCCACACGCCCGGCATTGAACTGCTGCGTTGTTCAGGTCCCAGCTCCGGCGTCTCCGGCAGCACTCCACGAGGCGGTACGGGTCCCTGCGCCTGACGGTACCCCGCAGCCAGGTATGGTTACACCGCGTTAGCCACCTCACTCGCCCCGGAGGTAACCGTGCAGGACATTGCTGTACTCTAGAAGTAGTTGCTTTTGAGGCTCCAAAAGTTTTTTGGTTGTCGTGTTGTTCTGTTTTTGTCTTTTCTTTGTCTGCTGGCTTTGTTTTCTCGAAAGCCCGATCAAACACCGTCGTTAAATCGGTGCGGGATGATGATGATGATGATGCTGCTGCTGTAGTTATTTCGAGGCTCAAAAAAATGTTTTTTTGACGTCGTGTTGTTCTGCGTGTCTTGCTTTGCTGGCTGTCTTTTCTCGCGAGAGCCCGATCAACCATTTCTCCTGTTTATCCTTTGCTGCTTAATGCACCGCTCTGGTGCTAACTCACCAACCAATGGACGGACGGACGGACGGACGGGCGTATCACAACCGGCCTGGCCGCAGGTGTTCGAGTACTCGTTCCACCAGCTTAGGGTGCGCAACGCGGAGGAGATGCGGGGTCGTCTTCACATCACCTTCCAGAACGAGGACGGCATCGACGCCGGCGGGCTTACCCGAGAGTGGTGAGAGAACCGGAATATTTTTCGGAACAGTAATATTGATCCAGCATTACAATAATGTTCGGACTCGGGCGCGTACCGTACCCGAAAGGCCGTGCGCGCCAACGGGTGTTGCGCAATCTCGGAAAGCACAAAGAAAATGCGTTTTGGAAGGAAAGCAGTCTTACGGCAGTCTAGTTCAAACGACACGCTGATATTCGTGTGCTGTTTGTGTATCTTCAACAAGCTCACCAAGCTGGCGTGGGGGCTCCGTATATCGTTCATCCTCTAACAATTACTACTCTTTACTCCCCCCATGGATGATCAAATGCTTGGGGCGCGTGCGCCAACAGGTACTCCATCCTGGCGAGGGACATCTTCAACCAGAACTACGCCTTGTTCATCGCCGCTGCGGACGGGGCTACCTTCCAGCCCAACCCGGTGTCCCACGTTAACTCCGAGCACCTGGCGTACTTCAAGTTCGTGGGTCGGATCGTCGGCAAGGCTATCGCGGACGGGCAGGCGCTCGACGCGCACTTCACGCAGTCCTTCTACAAGGTATGTGTGCGCTATCGGTTGTCGTTATTGCTGCTGTTGCTGTTGCTGTTGCTGTTGCTGTTGCTGTTGCTGTTGCTGTTGCTGCTACTGCTGTTGTGTCGGTCATTGTTTGTGTTGCTGCTGTCCTCAAACACGCTGGTGTGGGTGATTTTTGTTGTTGTTGTTGTTGCTGTTGCTACTGTTTCCTCAGCCACGCTGTTGTCCTCGTCGCCGCTGCTGCTACAGTAGTATTTCCTCCGCCACTGGCATTATCACTGCGCGTTTTTGGTTTACTGATACTCTTGCTACTGCTGTTGTTTGCTTCTGCTGCCGCCGTACAGCACATCTTGGGAGTGACGGTGACGCACCTGGACATGCAGGCGATCGACCCGGACTACTACAAGAACCTTCTCCAGATCACCTCCCTGCCTCTCGAGGACCTTGGCCTCGACCTAACCTTCAGCGCCGACACGGAAATGTTCGGTGCGTTCACCCCCCCGCCCCCCCCCCCCCTCTCTATCAAAGTGCCTTGCGATACTTGAAGTCTATTCGTGCCAGCCGAATGTGAACCGTTTGGTTAGCCGGGGTGCCCAATCAACCCGTGGCGTACCAAATTTGGCACAGCAAACGCAAGAATGATAGAATGATGACAGCTTCTGGTTATCGTTGCGGAACATACCCTGGGCCCGCGGAAACCCGGCTTATCGCTCCGGCCCGGCGTTGTAGGGATGCGAGGTTTATGGTCTAACGACCACGGCATATGTATCGGCATATGTTTACATGAGCATACCTCCCCCCCCCCCTTCCGCACCCGCTTCATGAGGCGAGCGAAAACGCTTACGAGCCCGCGGGGTTTGACCGCATCTGTAGTTGCCTAAATGTAGTACTTACTGTACATGGGAACGAACGTGCTGTCCGGAATGGATGCTTGTTTGAGTTCCAATTGCTGGGCATTGCCTGACAACCCTAAACAAAACACACGCGCGCGGTGGGTCCGTCGTCCCGCCCCTCCAGGGAGACACGAGGTGGTGGACCTGATCCCCAACGGGCGCAACGTGATGGTGACGGACGAAAACAAGCTCGAGTACGTGCAGCGTATCACGCACCACCGCATGACCAATTCCATTCGCGGCCAGATCGAGGCCTTCCTCGAAGGTCAGTTTTTTTGCTCTTTTTTTTTTTCAGCTTTTTTTGTTTCGGGTTTCATTCGGGTTTGAGAAATTGAAGCCAATCGTCTCGGAGGGAAGGGCGGAAAGAAGGATAGAAAGACCATCAGTGTTGCCACGGCTGCTACAGTAGCTGCGTCGAAGACACATATCGAAAGGTGGGGGATTGACTCCCAGAATAGATGGGTGTACTCATCGTCGTGCATGCCGTAGTCGTTAGACCATTGACCTC